GCCCCACCCACACTCCCACTCACCCCCCCCAAGTCCCACCCACACTCCCCCCCATCCCCCAGTGTGTTCCTGTGTGCATGTGGAGGGCAGAAGTCAACCCTGAGTGTGACTCATCAGGAGCCATCTGCTCTGTCCTCTCTTTGAGACAGGACTGATGAGGTGGGGAGACTGGCCGGGGAGCCAGTGGGTGAGTCGCAGGGATGCCGGGCTCCACCCCCAGGGATGCCGGTCTCCACCCCCAGCGCTGGGATGAGAACACTTCCACTAGCAGAGCTGGGGATCGAACTCAGGTCATCGTGTCTGTGCAGCTGGAGCTTTGTTTGTTTGCTTTGGTGTGTTGTCCCCCCCCCCCCATTCCCTTTCAAACTGCCCAGTGTGCCGGGATGTCATTCGGGGGCATCCAATGCACCTTTTGTTCTCACTGCAGCCGGATTTTCCCTGCATTGCCAAACTCCGCTCAGTGAGTGCATCAAAGCAACTCTTCTGACCTTTCTAGAGAGGTTGCCTCAGTTCATGGATTGCTAATGATGTCTGAGGTGATGGAGGATCATAAGCTCAGCACTCAGGAGGTGTCTCAGTAAGAGATAAACAACTGATTTATTGTTTTGGGTCGACGATCAATAGGTTTCCTTTCTGTTGTTGTTGTTGTTGCTGCCTTTTTCCTGTTCAGGTAGACACTCTGAAGGCAGAAGCTGTCTAGATGGCGGAAGACGTCCATCCCGCAGGGCTAGAGACAGAGCTGAAGAACGGAGCAGCTAGGAGAGGCAATGGTAGGGTGATGCTCAGCCTGAAACAAAACAGCTTTCCACAGCCCTTCCCACACGGCTAACCTTCCAGCTTCTTCATCTCCTCTAACAGTATTTTCCTTTCACTACAATCGCCTACGTTCCCACCACCCTCTCCCTAGTGAAGGGTCCTGACTGACTGATTGTTCATTGACTGACTGAATCTAGAGCCTCAGGCCAGCTGGGCGAGCTTCCAACCACCAAGCCACACCCCATTGTCTTTTGACATTTTCTTTTCTTGATACAGAGCCTCACTAAGTCTAGCCTTGAGCTCACTCATAGCCTAGGCAGGTTTTGAACTTTCGATTCTCCCACCTCAGTCTTCCAAGCAGCTACCAGGCCCAGCTGAAGAGGACACTTAAGTCTCAACCAACTTAGCTGTTCTTTGCATGCCTTTTTTTTATGTGGTGTGTGTGTGTGTGTGTGTGTGTGTGTGGTGCGCGCTAGTATGTGTGAATGTGCTCGTAAAGATTCTTCAGGTAGAAACGAGGGAGGAAGGGCCATGGAGATGCTGTGTGTATTGGGTAAAGCTAGAAACGTTGCTAGGGCGTGGCCAGCAGGTGCCGGGCCTAAAGGGATGTGAGAAAAGAAACAGACAAAGCTACAGGCAAGTTAGGCCCCAAAGAACAGAGCCTGGGATCTCCTAGGAGGAGGCTGGAATGGCCCTTCTGGACTTGGGAGATCCAACCAAGGGGCAGAAGCCAAGCAAAAGTCAGATGTAGAAGGGAAACAAGCCGCGGAGGCTGGACTATGGAGGGAAGGGACTCGGAAGTAACAGGCTGGAGCCAAAGCCCAGGCTTCCTCCTGTTCCCTGAAATTCCTATAGGATTTCCAAAGCCTTGTAGCAGTCAGATCTGTGTTGTAGACTATTATCTTAAGATGTGTTACATTTGTTTATGCTGTGAAACATTTGCTTAATGATGCAAAGATGTGTTGCATGCTTTTATGTTGCATTTGTTTAGCTCTGTGAAGCGGTATTACTGTGTCTTTCTAAAACATCTGATGTTCTAATAAAGAACTGAATGGCCAATAGTGAGGCAGAAGAAAGGATAGGTGGGGCTGGCAGGCAGAGAGAATAAACAGAAGGAGAAATCTAGGGGGGAAAGAGGAAGAAAGGAGAGAGATCAAGGAATGAGAGAGGAAGGAGGAGGACTTCTGGGGCCAGCCACCCAGCCACCCAGCTACACAGCCAGACATGGAGGAAGAAGGAAAGAAAAAGCATACAGGAATAGAAAAAGATAAAAGCCCCAAGGCCAAGGATAGACAGGGTATTTTAAGAAAAGTTGGCAAGTAACAAGCCAAGCTAAGGCCGGGCATTCATAAGAAATAATAAGTCTTTGTGTGTGTTTTATTTGTGAGCTGGGTGGCGCCCCACCCCCCAAAAGACCAAAGAGTAAAAGATTAGAAGACTAACCAAGGACAGACCTATCTTCACCTACACCACAGGGCTCTTCCTTGCCTCTGCCTCTGGCTAATGGACTTGTGCGTGCTGGTCCTTTACACATCGCCCCTCTGGACACACATACTTCCCTCTTTGCCTCTGCCTGTGCCGTGGGTCTGGCTTGATCAGATCTCTCTATGCATGACATGTGCCTTCATTGCTAGTGTACCAACGGTCACTTTTCATCAGTGCGGATATATATTCATCCTGAAACTCGGTACAGACAGAAGCCCAGTCAGGCTCAGCTCTTGCATCCAGAACCTACCAGCCCTGGGATGTGGTTGCCACCTGACTGGGCCTGGTGGAAAAGAAGAAATGAAGCTGGAATATTGGTGGAAAAGAAGAAATGAAGCTGGAATATTCCTATCAAACCTAGGGCCCTTGGAGACCCGTTGGGGGCAGCAGGAAGGGCGAGCAGGTTCTCTGGAGTAAGCATTTTCACTGGCGCCTCCTCCAACCCAGCCTGGGCCTTCTAGATAGAAATCTGCTTCCCAGGGAAACTGAGGATGGTGGTAGCTCCCAGGGTCAATCACGTGGCTGCTTTGCTGGCTCATTATGCTCAGAGCACAGGATATTATACGTCTCCCCCTAGCAGAATGAGTGCGCAGAACAATGAGGCCGATTCTCCCAGACTGTGATTGTGTCCGGGAGTAAATTCACTCTGCACTTCCCGCTCACAAGGAAACCCTTGCTGTCCCTTTGTTCATTTTTTCCCTTTGGTCACTGTGACAGCCACCTGGGAGAAGGAACTTGAAGGAGCTAAGAGACATTCAGGCGCCTGGAGTCAGGGGTTTCAGTCCAAGACTGGCCTTGTTGTCTCTGGGCAGAACTCCGCTGCAGGGAGTTCACGTGGAGCGGAGCCGATCTCAGGGTGCCCAAGAAGCAGGCAGGGCAAGAAGGAAAGGAGCAGGGACAGACCACGTCTTTCCAGAACGTTCTCCCAGGGATCTGCTTCCTTCAACAAGGCCCCGCCTCCTGCTTTCTACCATCCCCCAATAAAGCCGTTAAATTAAGAATCCCTTAAGGGATTAATCCACTGATTAGTTCAAAGACCCCAGGATCCAATCAGCGCTCAGATCAGACTTGATCTGTCAGTTGAGGACCAGGCCTTCAACACAAGAGCCTTTAGGGGAGACGCTTCATATCTAATCGCTAACATCTAGCCAATCTCTTTGGAGCATGCTCTCTGGTCTTTCCAGCTGACGATTCTGAAGCAGTCCAGAGGCTGAGCATGCCAACCAGGAGACTGCATGTTCAATGGGAGCCTCTACTAGGCTCAGATGTGGAAGGGAGGACCACACAGAGGTGCAGTTCTGTCCGCCAAGGCCATTGTTGGAAGAGATTGGAAATGTGCGGGGGTGGGGTGGGGGTGGTGCCTTGGACTCCTCTCTGTGCCTTTGTGTCCTTGTCTGGAATTCCGGCTACCATTGTACTCTTCCCACTCTCCTTCCTGTCCAGTCATTACAGTCAATTCAATCTGTAATGAGCTAGAATCCTTGAAAGCTCAGTGCCTGATACAGAGGACAGGCATGGAAATACTGCTGGGGGGGGGGGGGAGACGGAGACAGAGAGACCAAGAGAGAGAGGAGACTTATTTGTTTTATTTTTGAGACATCTCACATAGTGGCACAGGCTGGCTTTGAAAGACCTTCTGATCCTTTGCAACTACCTTCTGAAAGCTAAGTAAGCACTCTACCTATGGAGTTACATTCCCATTCCACATGTTCAGCTTTAAAACAGGCCTATCCTTAGGAACGTTCCTTATCCTGAAGCCTGGAGTTGTATACGATACTAAAAAAGATGTTCTCAGCCGGGCGGTGGTGGCGCACACCTTTAATCCCAGCACTCTGGGAGGCAGAAGAAGGTAGATCTCTGTGAGTTCCAGGCCAGCCTGGTCTATAAAGCAAGTTCCAGGAAAGGCGCAAAGCTACACAGAGAAACCCTGTCTCGAAAAACCAAAACAAAACAAAAAAAGATGTTCTCAAAATTATTTCCCCCATCCTCCATTGATACTTCCCGCGCAGACACCACCTCACTCCCCTCCCCTCCACCTGTTTCCCCACTCCCAAAGCTCGCTTCTGGAGGATTTACAAGAACCTTAAGCCTCAGCTTCCCTCTCAGGTCTAGAGTGTCTGTGCTGTGATTCATCCTCTGCCACAGGTTTCACGGCCATGGCCAAGCTATAAGAACATGCGTTTTCATTACCCTGTACACACATTCTTCCGTATTCCTTCTGTTCCTGATCCTCAGGACCTCACCACACCTCTAATTCTGGAACTCAGGAGACAGAGACAGGTGGATCTCTGAGTTCAAGGCCCACCTGTTCTACATCGTAGTTCAAGGTCAGCCAGAATTACATAGTGAGACCCTATCTAAAAATAAATAAGCAAATTAAAAAGAAAGTAAAAGCTTCCTGGCTAAAAACGAATGGCCCATCTCTCTCAAAAGGTCAGTCTGATATTCTCAGGCTCCCAGCTCCTCAGGACTTGAGAGTCAGCTGCAGTGACTCAGAGCTGCTTCTCTTTGGTTTTTGGCTGGCAGCCTCTCATCTCTCCCCCTTGCAGGAATGTGGAGGGGTCAGCGTCGTCAGGGGTGCGGCAGAGCCCAAACAGGTCCACCTCGAGGAGAACATTGGGTACGAGGTCTGAGAGAGAAGAGGGAAGGCTGGGTGATGAGAGAGAAAGCTTGAAGATATGAAGGTGTTACCTGCTGGATCCAAACCTCCACCCCAGACTCATTTAAATAGGAGTCTTGGCCGGGCACACTTTTAATCCCAGCACTCGGGAGGCAGAGGCAGGCGGATCTTTGTGAGTTTGAGGCCAGCCTGGGCTACAGAGCGGGATCCAGGAAAGGCACAAAGCTACACAGAGAAGCCCTGTCTCGAAAAAGCCACATTTCCAGAATTCCCTATAATATTTTGCTATAATTTAAAAGTACACTGTCATCTAGGGGCTGAGGATGTAGCTCAGTGTCAGAACACATGCTTGCCTTGCACAATGCCCTGCATTCAGTCTGTAACAATAAAGAAAAATAAAGTCACAGCTAAGTATGAGAGAAGCTGAAATGTACAGGGTTTTTTTGTTGTTTGGTTTGGTTTTTGTTTTGTTCTGTTTTTGAGACAGCATCTCACTATGTAGCCCTGAGTAGCCTGGAAATCTCTATGTAATCCAGGCTGACCTTGAACTCACAGAGGTCTACCTGTCTCTGCCTCCTGAGTACTGGGAGTAAAGCATGCACCACTATGCCCAGAAAAAAAAATATATATGAAGTTTTGCTTATGTAGTTTTAGTCAATTAGAGTGTGTGTGTGTGCGTGTGTGCGTGCGCGCGTGCTCATACACGCGTGAGTATGAATGTAGTTGTATGCAGATAGAGGTCAGAGGTCATCTTTTGGGAGTCAGTTCTCTGCACTGTGGAGTTTGGGGATCAAACTAAAGTTATCAGGTTTGTGTAGCAAGGGATTTTTCGTGTGCTGAGCCATCTCACTGGCCCCGGAATAGGGCATTTTCGTCGGACCCATTGACACTCAAATAATATGACCACCCTTTTGCTGAGAAAGCACAGTCTAATGGCAATTAGCAGTCTGGTTAAGAAGCGCAGGGTAGGGGGCTGAGCTGTTAGAGGTACTTGCCACATGAACCTGACAACCTGAGTCCACCCCGTGGTGAAGAAACTAATGCCCAACCGTTGTCTGGAGTGGGTATTCATGTAAAGCATGGGACCTTTAATCCTAGGGCCATGGGTTCAAGCCCCACGTTGGGCACCAGATAACACAAGAGGTAACTGAAAGTTTTCCTGTGCCCACAAAGCTCCTGCATCCTCATGGTCCCACAGCTGCTCAGACCCAAATGAACACACAGAGGCTTATAATAATTAAGAACTGTATGGCCTATTGGCTCAGGCTTCTCACTAGCTAGATCTTATATCTTCAGTTAACCCATTTACATAAATCTATACTTTACCACATGTCTCTTGGCTTACAGGTATCTTTACATCTTGCTTCTCATGGCAGCGGATGGCAGCGTCTCCTCTGTTCTGTCTTTCTCCTTCCTCTTCTCTAGTTGGAATGTCCCACCTAACCCTATTCTGCCTTGCCACTGGCCAAAAAGCTTTGTTTATCAACCAATCAGAGCAACCTATTTTCACAGCATACAAAAAGACATTCCCCCATCAGCAGAAAATATGGGGATTACTGATAAAAGAGCTATTTATTAAAGGATTATATTGGAGGGTACAATTCACTAATACAGGATAAAGCAAATTCAGTCACAGAGTCCTGGAAGGCCGAGAACTGGTCCCACACCGCTTTATGTGGCCTGATTCGATCTCCACCATTCAAGAGTTTGGGAGAGAAGGGGTCCGCATACATGCTCCCCGGGTCTTAAGCTAGCAATGAGGCTATGCCCTAGGGGCTGGTACCCCAAGGCCATAGGTGGAACGAATACCCACTACAGTTGTCTTTTGGCTTCCACATGTGGCTGCATTGCACACACACACACACAACAGCAATAATAATAATAGCATTGCACACATACAACAGTAATGATAGCGTTGCACACACATACAACAGTAATAAAAATAGTATTGCACACAACAGTAATAATAATAGTGTTGTATGTACATACAACAGTAATGATAATAATAGTGTTGCACACATATACAACAATAATAGCATTGCACACATACAGCAGTAATAATAATAGCATTGCACACATACAACAGTAATAATAATAATAGCATTGCACACACATACAACAGTAATAATAATTTTTAAAAGCCAAATCCAAATATTCACTGCTATTTTAAAGGAAAAGGAGACAGGCAAAAGGACAGAGGGAAAGGAAGGGCAAAGAATCTCACAAGATCTATATACCCAGTCTGTTTTTGGACTGCCAGCTCCCACATAATGACATGGAGACTTCTTATTAATTATGAAAGCTTGGCCTTAGCTCAGGCTTGTTCCCAACTAGCTCTTTCTTTTTTGTTTGTTTTTTGTTTTTTGTTTTTTGTTTTTTCGAGACAGGGTTTCTCTGTGTAGCTTTGCACCTTTCCTGGAGCTCACTTGGTAGCCCAGGCTGGCCTTGAACTCACAGAGATCCGCCTGGCTCTGCCTCCCGAGTGCTGGGACTAAAGGTGTGCGCCATCACCACCCGGCCCCAACTAGCTCTTAAAACTTAAATTAAACCACTTATATTAATCTACATTCTGCCACACAGCTTGTTACCTCAGTACCATATGTCCAACTTCCTCTGAGTCTCACTGGTGAATCTCTCACCTCTCAGATTCTTCCCAGAGTTCCTTTCTCTGCCCAGAAGTCCCACCTATCCTCTCCTGCCTAGCTATTGGCCATTCAGCTTTTTATTAAACCAATCAGAAGGTGTATTAGCCAGCTGAGGTAAAACAGACACATCTTCACACGGTGTGATCAAATATCCTGCCACAGATCTGCTGACGAAACTCAGCTAAAACCTCGTTTGGGAGGACGCTGGACAAAAAAGTGATACAAGTTTAGATAAACACTGCAAAAGTGAGAAAACTAAAAAGCTGTGTAAGCTCTGTGCTCACTGACCCACACAACTCCAGATACCTTAAACTGTGCTCAATGTGCAGTAGATACCCAGCAAATACATTTGACTAGAACTATCTGAAACACATTTGCACCCCCTAGATTAAACAAAAGGTAAGTTAAAGTAGCCTGGGTTTAATCCAGTGAAATTCATGTGTATGTGGACAGACTTGGTTGAGGGCCGTATTAGTGACTTCCCTTGTTGCTTTGACAAGAAACATGAGCAAATTACTTGAAAGCGGGAAGGGTTATTTTTAACCCCTAGTTTCAGAGGCTTGGGCCTCGCACACTTAGACGACGTGGTGCCGGGAACACAGGGCAATGGAGGCCCACCCATGGAGAACAGCTGAGTAGAAAGGAAAGAGAATCAAAGCCCCTAAAACACACCCCAATGACTCACTTCCTCCAGCCGGCTTCCCTGATGGGCTTAGAATGTCCCGAAAGGGTGCTGGCAGCTCAGAAACCAAGTGTCCAGTTTGTGAGCGAGTCTATGGGGGACATTGCCTATTCAAGAATAACAACAACGAAAGAGAAATGATGGGCAATGGCAGATAGAGGGAGCCAGAAGAGCCAGAAGAATAATTACAATGGTTGAGAGCAGACCCAGAATTTGGAGTGATTTGTATTTTCTTATTTTTGCTTTCCTGAGCTTTTAATCATTCACAGTTAGCAATTCATTAAAGGCATTATTATAGTCTTTCTTTCTTTCTTTTTTTTTTAAAGATAGGGTTTCAATCTGTGTTCCCTGCTAACCTGGAACTTACTACGTCGCCTAAACCTCCCTCAACTCTTCCTGCTTCAACGTCCCAAGTACTGTAATTAGAGGTTTGAGTGACGGTAGCTGCTTGACTGTATTCAGGTAATTCTGGTTTTTTTTTTTTCAACCCTGAGGATTAAATCTAGGGCCTTTCAAATGCTAGGCAGGTGTCAAAACAACTGAGCTGCCTTCCCAGGGCGTATTGTCTTAAAAAGTAATGTCAAAATCCATTTGAGACAAAAATCAATACATGTCTTATGTCCTTATCTGTGGGTAGGGTTTTAAATAAAAGAGTAGCCAGGCAGTGGTGGCGCATGCCTTTAAACCCAGCACTCGGGAGACAGAGGCAGGTGGATCTCTGTGAGTTGGAGCCCAGCCTGGTCTAAAAAGTGAATTCCAGGACAGCCAGGACTATTACACAGAGTATATATATGGAGAGAGAGAGAGGGAAAGATAGAAAGGGAGAGGGAGAGATAGAGAGGGAGAGGGAGAGGGAAAGGGAGAGGGAGAGAATGGATGGAAGCAGGCATTTAGAAACCATTTATCAAGGGAAAGACTGACTCCCATGGGCCTGTTTAGACAGGGAACCCACTTTCTGGATTGAAGATTGAGATAAACCGGCCCTCGGTGGCCTTTAGGGGTCTTCTCTACCCTGGGATCCTTGTCAGCAGGGACAATCGTGGGTTCATTTATCCACAAATGCCTTGTGTGCATTCTTCAAACAGACATATTTGAAAACTAAAGCTCTCTGCAAGGTTTTAGGACAAGAGCCCATGACTCCACTCAATACTCCTCATCCATCTGGCTTCTCCTCCACAGGTGTAACTGAAGACTCACTATGTGGTAATACATGCGGGGACCCTGGAAATCTGATCTAAATTGGCTTCATCACAAGCACAAGCCCACTGCTATGAGATATCTGATTCTCACTCCTGAAGGGGAAAAAAATCTCTGTGGAATTTACAGAGTGAATTGTTGCTTAGACTGAAGTCATCCCATAAAAGACCGGCCAAAGAGGCTACATGTTATAAAACAGTGAGTCGGTCCCTCAGACACGGTCACCTTCTGCTCATCACAGAGCCTTGAACTCAGTGTGCTTCTTCTTCCTGCTTCCACACCTCACCCCCAGGACAATCCTGCTGGTTGGATGTCCCTTCTTCTCCAGTCACATTCTTACCCACCCTCCGGCCCACCCCACAGTCTGCCTGCTGTCTACAGCTGCCTCTGACTGCTGCATCCCTCACCACGAGCTCTCTGCTCCATCCTCCCATAACCAGCACCACAGAGACCGCTCTGAATTATGTGTGTTGTCCCGAGGCAGGGTCTGAGGATGCAAACGGTCAGGGTTCACTGCTCTGTGTACACTGCCTAGTATACCGCTTCGTATCTGGTGGGTTCTCAATAAATGTCTGCTTATTCGTTACTTTAAAATAACCAGGAAGAGGTTAGAGAGTATCTCAGTGGTAGAGTTCTCATGTAGCATGCACAAGTCGCTGGGTTTCACCAGCAACACACAGACACATACAAACACAGACACAGAGACACACACACAGACACATTCAGACACACACACAGAGACACACACACAGACACACCCACTTACAGACACATACACACACACACACACACACACACACACACACACACACACACACACACACACA